CGTATGAAGTTTTGATTTGCTTTAAACAGGCAAAATGTTGTATTCAAAGCTAGGCTCAATGCTTTAAGAAAATGGCTATAAGAGGTTTTTTTCCTACCCCGTACAATTTTCAAATTGGGACTTAGCAACTTTTCACTCTAAGCTATCGATATGTATGTCGTTTTTTTAAATCTATTTTTTTTTTGTTTTATTTTCTAATTTTACCAGGGACTGTAACGGCTATGATCCTTACGTTAAAAATAATTAAACCGTTAAAACTTGATACATCGGATCATATTTAAGGCTATGAGAGCAAAAGTGGCATACCAAAATTGTTTTTTTATGTTCTTCCCCACTTAAAATAGTCTCAAATGAGATAAATTTTAAAATGAAAGTCGCTTAAGGTGGACTCATCGTTTTAATTCAGAACTTTTCTTCCATGTGGTTGTTGTTGCGGTTCTCTCACAAAGAGAGAAGCAAAAGTTCAGAACTTTTCTTCCATGTGGTTGTTGTTGTGTTTTTCTCTCTCGGGAAGCAACTGAGAAAAGTTCTGAACGCTTTTGAGTTTTGAACTCACTTCAACTTTAGCTCAGAACTAGAACGATGAATTCGCCTTAACGCTTTAATTTTAAGCTTCAGAGCTACATAACGTGTATCATCAAAGTAAGTAATAATCGACCTTTACTTTAAGATGTATTACATTTGAAACTATTTTAAGAAGTTAAGTACTAGAAAAAAATTTTGGATTAAGCCACATCTGCTCTTGGCCTCATTTAATCGTTATTTTTGAATTTTTTATTTTTTCAATAAATTTTCTATCGTTTTTTTTCGATACTATTCCAATTGCTATTTTCGGATTTAATTTTTTAGATCATAAAAGATTTAAACGGTAAAAATGTAGTCTCCATTATAACGGGGTTAAAAATGATTGATAAAAATAAAAATCTAAAACAAAGATTAATTTTGATCAAAAAAATAACGATATTGCAATGTTTTAAAAATAAAAATCTTGATATTTAACGGTTATTTTCGGTTCCTGTTGTTTACAAAGAAAGTTTTAAAGTCAGCATTAAGTATTTAGTCTGGCAAGAGTTGTAAGAACGCTAATTGCTAAAAGTTTCTCAAATTTACGATATTGCATTGCTGTAGCTGGGAATTTGCATAAGCTATCTGCATAAATACTGAAACATATACATAAATAAATGGAAATATTTAAAATATACATACATACATACATATATAGTAATATGCATATTGATAGTGTTTAGTTATTTAAATACAATTTAACGTTTTAACAGCTTCTGTGAAAAAATTTGTTGATTGTACACATGTGTGTGTTTGTGTTTGTATGTTGCAAAACATATATGTATACAAAACCTTAAATCTACATAAATAGAAAAAAATCGCATATTTATTAAACCCTTAAAATTGAATTTTTATTAGTTAGCACTAAAGTTAACGGATTCAACTTATGGGTATAATATTTTACAGTTCTACATTAGATTGATCCATTCCTCAAGGGTAACGAGAAGATTATCGATATAGCGAATTTGACCTCGTGCGTTAGACTAGAACTACACTGGCTCCACTCAGATTTGTAGAACTAGATTAGACCCGGAAATCGCAGGGACCTGTCCAGGCGAAGAAAATGGTGAGAACTTCGTAGGGGAAATGGTTAGGNATTTGACCTCGTGCGTTAGACTAGAACTACACTGGCTCCACTCAGATTTGTAGAACTAGATTAGACCCGGAAATCGCAGGGACCTGTCCAGGCGAAGAAAATAGTGAGAACTTCGTAGGGGAAATGGTTAGGCTTCTTTCAGTGAAAAGGCGAGAACCTTCGGAGAGGTGGCCATTTAATTCTAAGCACAGGTCATTAATTCCATTACCAGACGCCAATATCGAGCAAGGTCTGCATGCGGTATGATGACGACTCCCTCTGAACTCAACACTGTTGGTTTGGGTTAATTTTCTTTGGCTTTGGCGTTATATCTCTGAAGATGAACACTGTTGTTGCTGTTGTTGTTGTCGTCAAGCTCAACTGAAGGGAGACAAAAGAAGCGTGCAGTCTCTATGGGGTCTGTCCATACGGACAAAGGCGTGAGTTGAGTGGGGTTTCGTGGGCATGCGAAGAGATATTTCTAATCGTGGGGTATCTATCCGTACGCTGGACACTCATTTGGCACATCCGCATCTAGTGTGCTCAATCAAACATGTCGCTGACCAATGTCTGTGTCCCTGTGTGAGAGAGAATAGGCTAATATGTCTTCTAGTAGCGTGGAATGACTTACGTTGCCGAATGCCTTAGACCAGAGGTGGGCACTACCACAAACAAGCGATCGCTAAAAGTGAGAATGGGGTAGTGTGCCTAATTCATTTTGCATGCTGCTGCGTTCTCATCGTTACGCTCTTGCTTGTATACGTACACGCGATGGTTATGCTCTTTGAGCGTGTGCTCGTTCTCTACCCATACCTGCCTTAGTGTGGAAAGGGCGGAGCAGAGCCTCTCGGTAAAGGCCGTGCCAGATGAAACTATGTGGCTGTGTGACTTGTACAACTTTGAACGCTAAGAAAACAAATTTAAACCCTAGTGTTCAATGAGTGCGCTAAAATATAGAACAGTGCACTGAAGAAAAACATGTCACATTTAGCGCAAGAAAATATATGCGTTTGGTTCAAAGAAAACGTTCACGCAACATCACGTTTGTGAGAGCACGAAAATTAAAAAAAAAAAAACCTATAAATTTAAGGCGGTATTATCACTTGCGAAGCGAATGATTTTGGCGAAGCGAATTAAAGAGCAGAGAAGGCATTAAAAGTGTTCGCGATGCAAAGAACTTGTACAAGATGGTAAAAAAGAACACTCTTAATGTATATTTAAGTTGCGTCCGCCAATCCATTCGCTTCGCCAAATCGTTCGCTTCGCCAAATTCATTCGCTTCGCAAGTGATAATACCGCCCTAAGGGCGATATGTATAATGGTAATGTTGTACATCTCTTACGTCACTTTATTATTTTTTTAATATTATCAATGGTCTGCTTTACCAAACGATTTTTAACATTCGGTATGTATATTGAAGTTTAATATGCTTGTACTCATACAAGCATTCATATTTCTGTTTTTGTACGATGAAGTTGGTTTGTTTTATTAAAATATAACTCTTAAAATATCAAAATAAGAGCTGTTGATAAACGATCAACAAGCTAGTGTGTAAAATTTTTATAAGAAAAATCCACAAATTTCTTTTCAGTGACTTTCACTTAAATATAATTTTAAGGCAGAATACTATTAATTAAAAAAAAAAAAACAGTTTTCTTTACCCAACAAAGTTTTTTTTTAATAACCCATGTAGGTACATAAGAATGCCTATCATTTCATCATACCAAAAACTCTGCATCGTTTTCCTCACTCGCCTCTGTAACATCCCCGCCTTCGTCTGTGTAAAGTTCGGCATCGGATTTTTTCACATTTACTATGGCTAAGTCCTTTTCTACGCCGTGTACATTTATGATATGCCGTTTCACCGACGACCTATCGGCAAATTTGCGCTTACACTCCGTGCATTGGAAAGTCAAACCGGTATGCGTAACCAAATGACGACTAAGCCCCGATGTATGGCTGAAGCGTTTTGGGCAAAGATGGCATGAATATTGCTGCCCCACTGGTACTTCTGCGTGTGTTCGATTGATATGATTTACCAGATTGTTCTTTTGTGTAAAAGTACGCCGGCAATGTGTACACTTGTGCGGTCTAGCGCCGGTATGTGTTAACATATGTCTCTTGAGTACCTCTTTTTGCACAAAAGACTTGCCACATTCATCACACACATGTGGTTTTTCGCCCGTGTGTATTATCATGTGTCGGGTGAGTGCGCTCTTGCAGGACAAATATACCATACATATCGAGCATTGGAACGAGACACCACGTTGCTCCACCTTAGCATGTGTACGCAAATGCCGGTTCATTGCATTGCTTGTGGAAAAAACCATCGGGCAGGAGTCGCATTTGAATGTTTTCGGTGTGTCAGTCTTGCGCAAATTCACTGGGAAATCTGTGCTATCTGCCACAATTTTCTTTGTGAATGGCTCCTTTTCCGGCTTCTGAAATAGCAAAATTACTTTTAAAACAAAATTAATGTTGTAAGTGTTTTTCACCAACCGCGGCATATAGCTTTTTAAATTCCCCGAATCCCACTGGCTCAACCTGCTCGGTTTCCATGTCAATACCAAAGTTTAAAATAATCACATCATCTTCTTCATGTTCACCATCATTTTCGATTCGTTGTACTTTCNTCCCACTGGCTCAACCTGCTCGGTTTCCATGTCAATACCAAAGTTTAAAACAATCACATCATCTTCTTCATGTTCACCATCATTTTCGATTCGTTGTACTTCTTCGCTGTCAGTTCTTGAAGTTTTTCTGTAATACTGAACCTCCCCAGAATCTGCAACTTAAATTTGATGCATGTTAAGGTTATTATATTTTGAGGGTCAGTTTTTCAGTGCAAGGCCTTAGTTTAAACTCAGTTTAAACGCCAGATCTGGCTGGTTTAAACTAAGATCAGCCAATCAAATGTCAGCCAGCTGTTCAATTTAAACTCGGTTTACTTAATATAATATATAAGCTGGCACTGAAACACTGACCCTTAGGGCCCTTTTTTCAATGTCGGGTCATCACTACCTTCGCATTATCATGCACCATGTTTAACCGGATATTAGTGTTCACCAGACATTGAGTAACCGGCCTTAAATGCATGTGAGTGAATTACTGTGATACGACTCGGCATCTGGCTCATGACTGCTGCTTTCCGAGGCTGTCAAACGAAAATTTCCGTCTCCCATTTTATCTTCAAAGTATTCAAATCGCTGGCTGTTATCGGTTTTTTGACGCTTACTCGGTGGTTTTGAAGAAGCAATTGGATCCTCGTCTTCATGACTATTAATAGATTCTATAACGTAGAATTCCGCCCCGTCTTCTGCATCGGCTTCTGCTTCAGCACAGCCCTCATCGTTGTCATTGAATACATGTTTGGTTTTCTCTTGGATTTGTTCAAACGGATCAGTTGGTACATCTGCTTCGACTTCATTTGACGTTTCTTTTACAATTGACGTAGTAGCATTTTCCTTTGGTGGCGCATTTTCATCCCTTTTTTGGTTTAAAAATGCTTGTAATTCATTGAGCAATGAGAAGCGTTCTCGCTCACGGCACTCCTCGATAACCTCTGAACGGACTTCTAACTTTGCCTGTTCCATACATTCTTCACGTAAAGAAGTCCTGATTCTCTGCTCCATTTCAGCACGCAACTCTACTTTAACCTCATCAATAACTTTGTTTCGGAGTTCTTTTGCAACTTCCTCCTTTAAACCAGATTTACATTCCTCAATCCATTCATTTTTTGCAAGTTCAATTTTTTGATCTAGATCATTTTGTAGCCTTTGCTCCCACCGCGCGTTTTCTTCCGCTTGCTTTTTTTCTTCCCATTTCTGTATAAACTGAAGCGAGTCTTCAAATTCGACTTCATCTTCGAAGTCATCATCCTCGGTCTTTGCAAATACTCGACTCTTTTTCCCCATGTTGAGCATTCGAATATGCTTCCGTAATTTACCATCCGACTGTTGATTGCGTTTACGAAAATAATAGGACTTCTCCAATTGGTAACGACACTCGAAGCATATTGACTTTGGGAGTCCATCTCCTGATTGTACTTCCAATGCGGCGCATGCCATGATACGCATCGGAATGGACAACTGCACTGAAGTATTCCCATTGGCAGCCGAGCCTTCCGGTGGCGGGAAGATGTCAACAAGATTTGCCTTATCAATGATGCAAAGGCATAGTCTGCACATTTTCTCCAAATCTGGGTACACGTTCTCCTCCATCTTTACTTCTTATATATGTACTTGTATTGATTATAATAGCTCTATTATCCACAAAACAGCCAGCTAACACGATAAACAAATGTGCGTAGGAATGACACATTTGACAAATGCACAAGCAAATACTCGACATGTCGATAACTCTTGTTTGTAATGCCATAATTGTGTTGGCCTTAAATGGACGTTACACAATCAATTTCTCTTCTTAAGCTGATGCCACATAAAACGTTTGCTTCGCTTTACGTGACAGATTCGCTTTGACAGCTAAGATGAATTGTATGAAAATTCACAAAGCATGCCACATAGATCATTAAAGCTGCAGCGCGAAGCGAAAAGATGGCCAACTCCCATCTTTTTGCGCGCTTTGACAATCAGCTGGTTTAATATTTATTTTGTTTCGTCCAAATTCGAGTAATCATGCTGAAACATAAAACTCAATTACATTGCTGATAATTTTAAAGCAAAATATCTAAAATCCACAACAATTTTGACGAGTAAAAAAGCAGTGCAAAATTGATTTTTTGGCGTTCATTGTGGCATACCTTTTGCATCTGGCGCTTTGCTGGCAAAGTTATAAATGTCACGCAAAGCTACAAAGTTTTATCTGGCATCAGCTTTAATTTCCAATCACTCGTGGCTATTAAGAAAATACACCACACAGTATACAGTGACTCAAAGAAGAGACCACGTGTTAAGTTTTTTTTTTTTTTAATGTTCGTAATGTTTTTGAGCTAATTATTCTTTTTTATTTTGCTGGGCTGATATTTCTAATAATGGACAGTTTCCTATTTCTTTAAATAAGTTTCTATTTGCAAACAATCTGTAAACACACAATTGTTGAGCGATGGCCCCGAAGTATGAAATTCGGGATCGTTGAAAATGTAAATGCATAGATATCTTTACCCAAAAATACTTTGTGAGGCATTACGAAATATGAGGTATATAAAATGCATGTATAAATTTCATGGTAAAACAATAAAGTTGTTCACACTTGCCTGGTTATATTGTTGTTGTTGTAGCGGCTACAACAACCTCGCCCAAATCGGTGAATATCTCAGTCGTTGTCGTCAAGCTCCACTAACGGAAGCCTCAGGAAGCGTGCAACCTCAATGGGGTCGGTCTACCGAGAGCAGGCAGAGCGAAGTGGGGCAATTGTGGTTCTAGTCTCCCGAGGCAAATGAAGCTCCGTCTCTTCGATGCCTATTGGTTGTGTGCCTAGAACGGCATTCACAGGTCTGGAGTCTACATAACTCGAAACTGACCCCGTGAATGTCGTTCGGGGTTTGTAGATTTGCTAAAGGGTCTAGAGACTGCTTGATGAACCTCTGGTCCGTCAGTTCGTAGAGATGCCTCCTGACGTGCCTGGGCGAGGGCTCTTCTGCAAGCAGTTATCTATTTGGGTTGCTACGTCTGTGGCTCCCAACCAGGAACTACTTGCAGAGCATTGTGTTATGTTCCTTAATAGGGTGCATTTTCGCCTCGTCGTACAGGTGGTAACCTCGCCTGGTTATAGGTTATCTGGTTAAAAATTATTATCCTGTAAAGTATGTTATAGTTGTAAACTGAATAAAAAATATAACCACATAACCAGATAACCAGGAAAGTGTCAACAATCCCAATATTTTATTACAAAGTGAACATTTTCCCGTGCGGACCTATTTTTAACTCAATATTGCAATAAATATTGAAAATTTGTAATAAAAAATCGCGCGAATTTTTATTATTAATTTTCGGGTGCGGCGTTTTTTTTTAATTCAATACCTAGATATATATTAAAAATGTTTGATCGAAAATCACGCAATTTTTATTACAAATTTTCGCATGCGCCGTTTTTTTTTAAGTCAGTACTTCGATATATAGTGAAAATAAGCAATAAAAAATCGCGTTATTTCTTTGTTTCCGAATTCGGTTTATTTTTCCCTTATTTTTTTGTAATATGTGGCAGCACCAAAGTTTCAGTAAATCGCGCTACAAAGGAAAAAGCGTGGTTGAATTTGAATTTTCCTGCAACTTTAACTACTAATTATTTAAACACTATAAGGGGGCAACCTTCAGAGTTAAAATCAGGGGCCCTCTACGCCCCCTTATCCCCCTTTTTTTCAAAGCCTGACCCATTTATGCAGCCCACTGTTTACTTGCCGACGGACAATGTGAAAGAAAATCGTCAACCGATTCACTAGTGCGTAGCGAAACGAATGAAGCGAAATCTTGCCCGTCTGTGGGTCGCTTTATTCAGTCAGCAAGTCAGTTAAAAGTGCTTATTGTGAATGGTTTCAAATCTTTAGTCAAGTGGCAAGGCTGAAAGCGCGATAATAGAATGTGTGTATAAATAGTGATAAGAAAACGCGTGGATACTTCGCAAAGCCGGCAGAACAATGCAAAATTAATAAATTCTCAAAATATCTGCAAATATTCCTTGCCTCAAACAACTTGTTATTGCCAAGCTCAAGGTCGGTGTTCAAATAAAACGCAACGGAAAGTATTAATAAGGTAAGTAGAATTTTGCAGGACGAGTGTATATATGTACATATTGTGGTACATACATAAATAATAGACCCATAATTTTTTTGAAATGAAGTTTTGCCGGCGTTCTAGGTCAAACTTTGACAAGAAATAAATAACCACCAGTTGATTGATGCCATTGTTAAAAATGCCATTTTTCATTGGATGTAAAAAGCGTTGGCGCGTTGTAATTACAATTGCGTATACACATATACATACATATATTCATTCATATATAACACGTAAATATGTACGCAGAGCTGGGTCGTAATGATTCTTGTATGAATTAAATTACTCCCAATTACAAATTACAAGGAATTGGAATTGGGAATCAATTCCTTCAGTCCACAGCAAAGAAATTTATTACTTTTTCAATTCCTTAGAAGTACGTTCCAATGTAATTATTATTATTATTTTTTTTTGAATTCCATTACAAGTAATTTCATATTGTAATTGGAATAAATAACGTGCTAGTAATGTATTTTTTTATTTTCAATTCCTTTGAAAGGAAATGTAATTGATTTTTTCCAGTTCCATTCCCTGGAATTGGAAGAGAGTACTTCAGTTTTTTCAAAGGAATTGTATAAGTAATTGAGAAACTGAAAGTTCATGTGGAATATGGAATTTTGGTTGTGGTCAAAGATTAAAATCGAAACCACACATTGGACATCTATCTACGTATATCTATGAATATGTTTTATAAATAAAAATATTGTGTTCGTTTGTACGAGGCCCCAAAACTCGAGAACGGCTGAACCGACTTGAATAATTTCTTTTTTAATTGTTCGGCATAATACAGGGGTTTTTGGTACAAAAGTTTGGAGGGTTGCCACTTGTTTGAAAATTTTAAACTCAATTAAATTGATTAAAATAATGGAATATTGCAATGTGCGTATCAAATCCAAGAAGTTTAAAAAAGATAACCGTTGGAGATATTCTTGAGGAGTGATGCCACCTATTTTAAAATTTTAACTCAGTTAAATTGATAAAATAAAGGAAATATCGCAATGTGGATGTCAAACTAGAGAGCTTAGAAGGCTTACAGTCAAAAATATTTGTGAATTGCCAATTTAACTCAATTAATTTGGGGAAATAAATTAAATGTTAAAGTATGGGTACAAAACGAAAGGTACATATGTGAGAAATCTTCATTCGGAAATATTTTCAATATGATTATCACCTACCTTTAAGTAATATTACGTTCTCATGAGCCACAAACTCGAGTTTATGGGCCATTTTGGAGTTTATTCTCTACTCTTAAACTCTGAGTTTACCATACAAAAAATTTCGTTGAACTCTCCTTAAACACCACTTTTATTTGGAGTTTATGCGCATCCAACATTTTTTTTTTACCGAATTTGGTTTGTGTTTTTGTTTATTCAAACCTGCAACCAACTTGCCGACAGGTAGTCTGTTGCCAAACTGCAGGATTTAATCAGAAATAGTCCAAGGTTGTTCCGTGCTCATAAGTCACGCCATTTTGGGTAGCATTCCTTTGAATTGAATTGAAAACAATCAATTACATTTTCAATTCCTTCCAAAGGAACTGAAAAAAAAATTACTAGCACGTAATTTATTCCAATTACAATATGAAATTCCCAGTAATGGAATTAACTAAAAAAAACAGCTACACTCTTCACCACGTGGACAAAAGAGGTGAGGCTCGAACTGAACGTGTTCGTTGGCGGAGTCAAGATTCCGACAGTCAACCACCCAAAGATACTAGGCGTCACGTTCGACAGTCTCATGTCCTTCTCGGCACACACCACCACAGTTTGCAACAAACTGCGAAGTAGAAATAAAGTCCTCAAGTCGCTCGCCGGCAGCACTTGGGGAAAAGATAAAGAAACTCTGCTTGTGACATATAAAGCGATCGGCCGGTCCGTTGCAAACTATGCCGCCCCTGTGTGGACAGTAGGCACGAGTGACACGCAGTGGAAAAACCTTCAGACATGCCAAAATGCCGCTCTACGAACCGCGACAGGATGTCTCCTTATGTCCTCCGAACAAGCAATTTATTAAACTTTAAAATGTTAATTTTTTTAGTACATACTGTACATAAAACTTGCACAAGTGTATTTTAAAGAGCATATTATCTGAAGCAAAATTTCAGAAGTATAAACCCCTACCAAAATATATTCCTGGGTGCGCCCCTGGTTATATCTCGGTTCTACTTGTCGTAAAGATGGTCATGATTGTCCTAAAGATATCTTAGCTATGTGTATACAGTTGAAATTTTTAAAGCTGATTTACATAGTGAAAACCAATAAATTAGGAATTTAAAGTCATACCATTGTAATCCCTGATTAATTCTCTATAAAAGCCATGTCTAAAATAAAATTATAGTTTAAAAAACTAAAACCTCCCTATTATAATTGCCATTCGTACTGCCATCAGGTACAAAACTTGAGAATAGAAATCGCTGCATCTTTTAGGCGCATCAATATTACATAGCTACATCCCGAGCTAATAAAAGGAAGGTAAAAATGGGCGCTTTTCAAGATTTTTCTTTAAGGCGACAAACCCCTAGAAATGGGCGCAGCAATTTTAGGACTAGAGTTCACAAAACGCAAATTTTATTTCGGATTTCGGCAGAATATCGCTTCGTTACCAGAATTTCTTCCGCAATATACTAGATATTCTGC